ACCAATTTTTATGAATGAACAATGTCCTTTTATATCAGTGATGAGAATTATGGGTCCGATATTTTTACAAGAATTTCAGGTTGATTGCAATATTGTTGTCTGGTGCAGCAGCTGCTAAATGTTGTAATGTGTGACCATGCAGTCCCACATTTGTAATAATAATGAATAAAAATATTCTTTTCTAGATTTTATGGCAGATCATTCCCCCTACTGAACTATTTGAGATTCTACAGAAGGTGCTTCAGAAGGGATATGTAAAGTCCAAATGGTTTGTGCCTTTATCTATAGATAGGCTAAATGCAGATATTTATGCATATTATGTTGATAATTAAATTCATAGTTGTGGAAAGTAAAGCCTTTATTTACGTCTCAGAAAAAGAGGGGTTATCAAAATATAAAGTATAATAAAACTTTAAAATAAAGAAAGACAAATATTATTTTAAAAAACATCTGTCTTTTATGGTTTTGTATTCTACCAGGCGACCAACTTTAAAGACAACCTTGGAGTTAATATGCTCCATGTCCACCAAGGGTGACCACAGCAAGGATACATCCCTGACCATGGTACTTCTGCCCCATATGTTAGTGACCCAGGCTGAGGAGGAGGCCATAGAACTGGCAAGGACTGTACTGGAGTCTTCTTATGCTTCACAACATACCTTATTCAAAGACCTGAAGAAAGGTGATTTTTTTTATTTGTATATTTTTTGTGGGGAGAGAGGAAAAAACTATCATTTGTTTAACAGTTTGTTTGCTGCAAAGTATATTGTAGTAATCTACCATGCAAACACCAATTCATGAACTTTATTAACAAAATTTTAAGAAAGATTTTTCTTACTTCTATTTTTATCTCTGTTTAATGTACAAGCAAAATTTTACATCAGAAAGATAGTATTTGTTTTGATATCAACCACTAGAATGGTGCACATTCAAATATTTTTGATTTTCAGTGTGGTGTAAAAAGGCTCCTGGCATAAATGTGACTTTGGAAGCAGAAGCTGACTTAAATGAATGTTTGATAGATGGCCTTAGCAGTGTTTTGTGTAGGTTGACTGCAGCAGAAAGAAGAAAGTGGGTATGTACACATAAACACTCAACAAATATTGATGCACACACATTTTAACTTATATCTTCTGAATCAAATTGTTTTGGCATTTCCAATGATGTAAATGTGGATCCCTTTATATATGGCACTTATATATCATTCTTACAACTCGTATTTAGGTTACATATATATCATTCTTACAACTCGTATTTTAGGTTACAGTGCTTGTGAACCACAAGGCAGCAAACCAAAAGTTACAAACCTCTCTTAGTTTCATCACATTGATGACGTTGTCTGCCATGATGGAGCATAGTGGTCTTGTGGGAACTGAGGCAGCTGAGGAAGTAGTGGCAGTGCTGCTTAGGAACTGGAAAGTTGTGAATGGTGACAAGAAAGTATGTACAATTGTAAAGATATTCTTATAGTGTCAATCTACTGTGGAAGTGATATAATTTTAACAGGAATATTTTCACTGGAGTGCTCAAAGCGGGGATGAAAGATGTTTTTTACTTCACTGGTTCAACATTCTTAAGGCAGGTGACTTTTGTAATAATTAAATTTTTTTTAATGGTCAATTTGTTTGTTGATTAAGTTTTAAAATATAATTGTTTGTGACATTTTCTCCTAAAGAGCCCAAAGCAAAAAAATGTAGAAGCAACTCCACTTGACCTTGCCACAGCAGTGAAAGAATTCGGGAGCAAGAGGCATCTGTACAGCAATTTCATCCAGTCAGTGAAAGAAAACAAAGGGCTTCCAGAGGGTGTCTTTATTGGGGTTATGTACAGGTTGATCTCTTCTCTTAAGATATCCAAACAACTGGCAGGTAATTTTCATCAAAAGTAAAAATATTTGTATCATTGTTTTGTGTATCTGAAAGTCATGCCTTAGTTATATGGAAAGGGCAGAAACTGAAAAAGATTAGAAAACTCCACTTTTACATGCATGCGGCTCATTTAATGAAGATAATTTCTAATTATAATATATATTTCTTAGTATTCATTTTCCTTCTTTAAAGTTTTTATTTCTGTCATGCCTTGAGCATATATTTTGCTGTTTCCAAGGCAAGCACTGGTGGGCAATCCACCCAGAGAAGAAAGGTGATGATCTGTACCTCCATGTGTGCACCAGGATATTTGACATGCTGACCACAGCCCTGGCCTCTGACCAACAGGAAAACATGAAGTGTTATGAAAGTCTGTTGCAGCTGTTGTTTAAGGTGAGTATAATGAGTCTTGGTGATGGTAGTATGTCTGTTTAGGTCAAGTTGTATGTGTGGCGTATTAAACAATGACCCAGCTCTCCATGTTATGTTAATAGAAGATTTAGGACCTTTTTGGCAAATGATCTGAGTGCTTAGTCTTGGTGAAGATACATTTAATTTTTCATTATTGCTGTGGGTTGAAGACAGATCATCAGATTAAGATAATTTAATCAAAGACTTAAATGTTAACCGAGGAGTAAGTGCTTTGTCCATGATTATCATGATATGCAATGTAAAAAAATATTTTTCATTTTTTTTCCTCCAGACCCAGTTTGACAAGTTATCCCTTCTGTTTAAATTCCTGGCCATGCTTTGGACATCTAACTGTCTGGACATGTCCATCACGTCTCTGACCACGGTCACCCAGGCCAGAGCTTTGAGAGTGGCCTGTGCTGCCCTCTCCAGTGTGGACAATAAGGCAGATATGGCTGCCTTAATGGGCACCAAATCTCCAGGTAAGCACATTGGTAGTTATACATCAAGGGGAAATTATTCAATAACATAAATGCTTTATACACTGTTCCAATCTTGACCACCATATATTTATAAATGAAGTGATTGACATCTGTAATTGCTATGTGTTTATTTTAGTACACAAACAATTCTAGATATTTTGGATGTAATGTCAGCATTTATGTTTGATTGGTATTTTTTTTTTATATATATTGTATTTTTTTCTGCATTATTTCTAGTAATCCCTAGTTTGCTGGTATCCCTGACTTCGGTGTATCCCCCAGTACGTGAGGCTGCCTTGATGATCCTGGGGGCAGTGAAAGAGAAGTGTCCTGCAGATGCCAGCCCATATATGGTTGTGGTCAGTAGGCTAGTCCATGCTAAGGAGGAACTAATCACTGATCAACACCATTTGTCTCAGGTGAGGTGCTTTTTACATCAATTTCATAAAAGGCTTGAAGTTTTTAACAGGGTAATGTGGCATAATTGCTATCTAGAGAATGTAATACCAATATTTTTCTTTTTTTCCATCAAGTAGTGCCTTTGGGTAAAGTTTTTAATTGCAGGTCAAGCCATGTGTAATACAAGTTTGTCAATAGGATTTTTTGTGAGAAAGACTACTAAAGAATATATATATGAAAATTTGTTACATTTGTCTTTAACTAAAACCTGGGAAAGCAGTAGTTCCATATGAATCAATGTCTTGATTATTTGAAAAAAAATCACTTCATTCTTCTCAGACCTTGGGAGTCCTCTTCTCAAAGATAAAGAAGGCTGAAGATGAAACTGGGGAGCTTTTAAGCCCAAAGAAGAAGGAAAAGTCTAAAGCCAAGAAAGGGCTGCTCCAGGCTGCTCTGGGAAGTCTGTTACACTGTGTGGTGGGCCAGGAGACTCCTAGACATGTGGTGACAGGGTTGCTGAAATGCCTAAAGGAGGTGCACAGTGAGGTAAGGGGTTCCTTATTGAGTAATGTTTACCTTGTCCCCAGATAATAGATTTCCAGTTGCTTTAGCGAAACAAAGCATTGAAATTTGCTCAGTAGGACATAGCTCTACAATTCTGATTGTGACTGATGACAGTTAGTTTTCAGACCTTGGATGTAAAGAATGCTGCAAACATTAAAGCTCACTTTTTACATTTATTATGCATACAGATAATTATTAAATAATATGGTAAACTATAAAATAACATCTGACAATAAGCATATTCAGTAATAAAAAGCTTTTCACAAGATATCTCCTTCTATTAAGGATATGTTGAACCAACTACTGCCAGTGATGCAGGATATTCTGCATAGGGCATCCACAACACAACACCATTTGTCTCCTAATGATGCCACCTCGCTGGAGTTGATCTTGACCAAGTTTAACGCAGAGACGTCTGCTCTCCTGGCAAGAAATGATCAGAGTGTGAAATTGTTTTTGAAAGCTTTGCAGCTTGACAAAGTGGTATGTCCTGGAAAACTTGCACCAGGGGAAATGGCTATAAAACAGGTTTGTAAATTCTGTTATGACTGTGTTCTGAGAATAGTACTTTTAATTTAGATAGTAGAATGGTTTGTATAGGACTTAATGTGTTAGATCGCATTCACAACGAGTTGAGCCAGGCTTTACAAATCCTGGGGACTAAATATGGCGGTCGTACATGAAAGAAAAAACACCTAATCTTTTAATAGTCTCTCCGCCTCTCACACGCCTCTCCATGTGTCTTCCCAATGGAGCCGAGATTTAATGACTGTCCCCCCGCAGGGACGACGTGTGGGGAGGCGTGTGAGAGGCGGAGAGACTATTAAAAGATTAGGCGGTTTTTATTTCATGTACGTCTGCCATATTTAGTNGGAGAGATTAATAAAAGATAAGGCTGTTTTTATTTCATGTACGTCTGCCATATTTAGTCCCCAGGATTTGTAAAGCCTGGCTCAACTCATTGTGAATGCGATCTTAGTTTCTCTAAGAAATATGTTGATATGTGTGATTTAGTGTATTGCACCTGATGTTATGGATTTGTATAAATTGTTGGCATTTAATTTTTGTAAAATTGATAAAAATAATACAGCTTGATAATGTAAATGAAGTAAAAAAGTTGTGAGAGTCTCAGCATACTGTTGCTTTGATGGTCATATCCTTATACTTGTTCCTTTAGAATCATTTATCTTGCTAAATTGTCTTTTATAATTTCAACAGGTCACCAAGGAGTTCTTCAGTTCCATCCCCAGTGCAGATGTACAACAACTGATACTGTGTGCACTCATTGACCTGTGGACAGATGGCAGCACTGTGGCAACAGCTACTTTGGTCACCAAGGCTTTGAAAGGGGTATAAATTATTTTGTAAAGCATAGAGAAAAAAGTTGGTTTCATGAAGTGTACAGCAGTAGATTATATTGCATTGGTTAGATTGTTTAGAAATATATTTGAGAATGATATTTCTTAAATGTTTCACTAGTTTCGTTGCTGAATTGCAAAACTAGCAAATATAAGATTACACAGATTCTGTTAAAAGCTGCTATAACCACTGTTCCTTAAATGTTGGATACACCTAGTCATTGTATTTTACATTTTAGCAGTAAAGATTTAATTGGATTTAAGTATACAAATAAACTTCATCAAGCAGAATTCAGCACTCTCTTTTCCATTTCAGCTCTCCTTGCAAGCAGAGCAGATTGCTCTCGAGCTGAATAAACTGGACCAGCAAGCCGGGGCTGTCTCCACTGTGAGAGAGGCAAAACGTGCTCGGCGCATGTCGCGTCCAAATGTGCCTTCTGAAGAAGATACTGCTCCAATGGAGAGAAGAGGATGGAGAAGGGTTACACTCATCCTAGAGATGCTGCAGAATAAGAAGAAAGTGAAGAACATCCATCTTCTGATACCAATATTTTTTGGGTTGATTTCCAAGTGAGTTACACAAGGGACCTATGAAACCTTTAAATTGATTAAGACGTAGAATGCCATCTCCGCTTTGAATTTTGACACTGTGTCGTTATTCACTGTAAGTGTGGCTAGAAGAAATGCTTGGTAAATTTTCCATACTGGTCCTTAACAGTGGATGGTATGGCAGATGGCCTTGCTACAACCTCACAGACCTCAAGTGCATAGACGTCCTACAGGCCTACAAATCATTTTCCATATCTCGCTTGTCTTGCTTGCTATCAATAAAAAATTACCTCATCAGTGCTGATATTTTTCTATGATTTTCTTGTGTAGATTGTTTGAGGTGGACGACACAAGCAGCACAGAGTATGTGAAGCAATTGCTGTTGTCCTGCATACTTCATGCCTGTCAGAAACTATCACCAGATGGAAAGCCAATAGATGAAAGTAAGTGATTTGTAAAGATGAGATAGACATTATTAGACATGTGGCATTGTAAAATCTGAATATATGCTTTAGTGAATTTGAGTTTTATTAAAGGGAAATTATAAGACTCAAATTTAATTATTAAAGCTAACATAATAGAACACATTGGAGTTCAGTTACTGTTGTGAAATCTGAGGTGGATATATAAACGGCATATTCCACATAAGGTATACAAGTTTATTCACGGCTTTGTTCATTCCTCTTCCATGATTTAGGTTTGGTCAGTGAAAAGCAGTTTAATGTGGAGTTGCTTGTACAATGCATCCGTTCTTCAGATAACCCTCAAACACACAGGCATGCTTTGCTCTTGCTCAGCATGGCTGCTGGGCTGTTTCCTGTAAGTATGACTGGTGCTTCTGATCTGGATCTGTGACTATGTCAGCTTTATATATATATATATTGCCGACATTATAAGACAAGGAATGGAAACATAAGGAAACATTGCCGACATTATAAGACAAATTATATGTGAAATATGTTAACCTAAAGAAGTGTAAGAGATCAGGAGTTGGGATGTTTGTTCCTATAAAATGTCTGATATTTTTCCCTTCAGATACTGCTATATCTAAGAAAGGCCTTTAAATCTTTTAAAGCCTGAAACTTGTAACAGTGTTTGGGAAAATTTTTAGGTATCATAATCTGCTTCTTTGTTTATAATTTCTATAAGTTGAGTTGGAGGTGCATTGCTCTTTTATTGATGAATATTTCAACAATGTGGTTTATAAGAAAATGTCTGCCATTCAGGACCATGTGCTGCACAACATCATGGCTGTGTTTACGTTCATGGGGGCCAACATCATGAGACAAGATGATGCCTACAGCTTCCAGGTGATCACAAAGACATTGGAAACTGTCATACCAGCCCTAATAAAGGTAGGAGAAAAGAAATATGATATGTCCACATTACAAAAAAATAATGGCATTAATTCTGTTGTGAATTTTAATTACACACTAAACACTGTTGTGATTTCTAAAATGTTAGAATTTGTTAAACACTACAAATTGATTAATTTTCCACAGGCAAGTGAACAGCAAGAAAAGGTGCAGCATGTGGTGTCTGATGTGTTGAGAGTGTTTGTTGATGCCAGCCCTCATATACCAGACCATCGCCGTCTGCCTCTTTTCACAAAGCTTGCAGAAACGGTTGGGACCGAGAAGTTTCTTTGGATCATGGTTGTACAAATGCTTGAGAGCCATATCACAAAAGGGGCACAGAAAACTGATGAGCAAGAAAATAAGGTAATTATTTGTGACCAAATGATTTGGTTCATGACTGTATAACTGCAGGTTCTGTGTCTGTTTGTGTGCATGCACAGGTGTGTGTTTAACCATTACTGTGTATGAATGAAACAAATAAACGCCATAGGGTTTAAAAGTTTATAAAGTCAGGAAACTTACAGTTAATATACAGCTTATATCAGATTTTTTGTGTTATATCTTACAGCCTCCAGCAGGACATGTCCACCAAGACATTGAATTCTGTCTCCATGTGGTCCACAGTTTCTCGCCAAGGGTCCAGGTTGTCTGCTGTCATCAGTTACTCCAGTATCTGGCAAAGTTGCCACAGGATAAAGAAGAAGGCGAGTGCCAACATCTCAGTGGTTGTGATATTGAGGGTTTTTAAGGCATTATTTTATAATAGAACTATTGGGGACGGGGGAGAGTAAACGGTCTGTAGGAAACATTGCCGACATTATAAGACAAATTATATATGAAATATGTTAACCTAAAGAAGTGTAAGAGATCAGGAGTTGGGATGTTTGTTCCTATAAAATGTCTGATATTTTTCCCTCCAGATACTGCTACAACTTCAAAAACAAGAACACCCAGAAACGTGACAAAGAAGAAGACAAAGAATAAATTGTTTGACACAGAGACCCACACTGCTAAACAACTGCGACATTTCAAATACACTTTAGCAAACGTTATCAGTGTATTGCTCTCTAGTGAGACATTCATCAGCCAGGTACCTTTTTTTCACTGCAGAATTAAAATGCATTTAAAATTATTTATATCTTATTTTTTTAATTTAAAAGTTGAATGTGTTTTAAAGTATTAAATATATATATTACCTCGACTGTAAGAAATGAGATGGAAAAGACATTGGAAAAATTTATTTACCTATATTTCTTTAAAATGCATATTTTAAATGTTTTAAGATGAAGATAGATTAAAATTTTTATGCCAGCATGTATAGCTTGTGAAATCATACAACTGAGATGATGACCTCCTTGAGAGTTTTATTATGGAAGTTTTTTACCTTCATAGCTTGTGGAATTAGAGGAGACAGATGTGACCTCCATGCAACCTCTGTATCAGACTCTTCTAGAAGAAGACTTGAGGTACATCACTCAGGTTGCCCACTGTCTGGAAGCACACACACACAGCAATACTGCCAAGTTCTGGAGAGCTTTGTTGCACAAGGGATATGATATATTGGAAAAGGTGCATATTTTCACCACTTTAACATGGTTGTACCATTCCAGTATATTGATGGAGATCCTCAGATGTATTGACTAAAACAAACAATATTTTTCTACTACTTTATGAACACACACCAACAAGTTAAAAACTCAGAAATAATCAATGAATATATTTTTGAAACCTTATATTTCTTCACTTGGATTAAGTCGAATGGAGGATTAATGACATCTGTTAGATGCACTTTGCATAGAGATACAATTTTATAGCAACTTGAAAGGATAAAGGCACTATTTGTCTCCAAATGAAACTATCATACAACTGAAGTCCCTTGTATGGTTAAGTGACATTTGTTGAAAAGAGATTGTTAAATGGGACTATGAAATAATTTGATTATCTTTGTGCTGGAAAACAATCTAACAATTTTTTTATGTTCAGGTGAATGCACTGTTGCCAGGCAATGTTTTTGTTACCGTGGTGACTGGCTTGATGCAGAATGAGTTGGCCACAGTGAGGAGGAAGGCAATGGATATGCTGAATAACAAACTACAACAACAACAGACTCCTTTTACACAAGAAGAGGTTTGTCAGTGTATTTCTCAGAAAATTAGGAAAATGTGGACAAAAAAATTATTATTCAAAAGCCTTGTTAAAGATAACTTTTAACTGTTGCACTTGCATATAGCATAACTGCTATTTGTAAACTTATTTATTTTGAGTAACATTCTTGGTCCTTTAAAGGTTTCGAAGATGGCATTTAAGTTTCCAGCTTTTAAGTTACAACCATTGTTTAAGAAAATCCTATACCTTGTGTTGATGAACTTTCACAAAACAAATTTTGTAAGTTTTCTTTTTAAATTAGTTTGCAATACTATCTGTTGTCTACCTTTAGCAATCTGCACTGCTCAACCTTATTGACAAGCTGGTGTCAGTTGCCGCAGCAACTAATTTGACAGACAGTGATGGTGGAGAGGAGCAAGCTGTGAACCGTCAGACTGCCCTCTATAGCCTAAAGTTACTCTGCAAATGCCTAGGCAAGGACGGTCCAGCAGCATTTACAAAGGTAGAAGTGGGATTTCTTTGGTAGTCTGCCTTCAGTCAGATTTTGACTGTTTCCGTCAACAGCTGGTTTAGTGATTCACTGAAACTGCAGTCTCAGAATAAAATTGACTCCAAAGGCAAGGCTCTGATCACACTGTTATGTATTCTATAAATTGTAATCTTTATTCTGAAAAACAATTCATTGGGTAATTTAGATTAGTATTAATTGTATATTTGTTCTCTTGTAACAGTGACCATAATGCTCATGCAATATCTTCTCTTTCTACCAGCTTTTTGTTTTGAGCACCACCATCTTTCTGGAGTCTGGTGCCAGCACTGCATCTCCCGTGGCTGCCAGTGCCTTGCTGTTGCTGGCAGAGTTGTGTAGTGTGCTGAAAGCCCATGCCATCCCATTCCTGCCACGCTTCATGCCTGGCTTACTCAAGGTGCTACAGAATGAAGAAAACCTTTTAAGGTGAGTGGAATTGTAAATTATACTGTATGCAGTTGTATTTATGGAGATTTGTATCATACAGAATGTAATCTTTCATCTTTGTTTCACAAGGTTGTATATATTATATTGTGACACAATCTGNTCATATTTCTTCACTTGGATTAAGTCGAAAGGAGGATTAATGACATCTGTTAGATGCACTTTGCATAGAGATACAATTTTATAGCAATTTGAAAGAATAAAGGCACTATTTGTCTCCAAATGAAACTATCATACAACTGAAGTCCCTTGTATGGTTAAGTGACATTTGTTGAAAAGAGATTGTTAAATGGTACTATGAAATAATTTGATTATCTTTGTGCTGAAAAACAATCTAACAATTTTTTTATGTTCAGGTGAATGCACTGTTGCCAGGCAATGTTTTTGTTACCGTGGTGACTGGCTTGATGCAGAATGAGTTGGCCACAGTGAGGAGGAAGGCAATGGATATGCTGAATAACAAACTACAACAACAACAGACTCCTTTTACACAAGAAGAGGTTTGTCAGTGTATTTCTCAGAAAATTAGGAAAATGTGGACAAAAAAATTATTATTCAAAAGCCTTGTTAAAGATAACTTTTAACTGTTGCACTTGCATATAGCATAACTGCTATTTGTAAACTTATTTATTTTGAGTAACATTCTTGGTCCTTTAAAGGTTTCGAAGATGGCATTTAAGTTTCCAGCTTTTAAGTTACAACCATTGTTTAAGAAAATCCTATACCTTGTGTTGATGAACTTTCACAAAACAAATTTTGTAAGTTTTCTTTTTAAATTAGTTTGCAATACTATCTGTTGTCTACCTTTAGCAATTTGCACTGCTCAACCTTATTGACAAGCTGGTGTCAGTTGCCGCAGCAACTAATTTAACAGACAGTGATGGTGGAGAGGAGCAAGCTGTGAATCGTCAGACTGCCCTCTATAGCCTAAAGTTACTCTGCAAATGCCTAGGCAAGGACAGTCCAGCAGCATTTACAAAGGTAGAAGTGGGATTTCTTTGGTAGTCTGCCTTCAGTCAGATTTTGACTGTTTCCGTCAACAGCTGGTTTAGTGATTCACTGAATCTGCAGTTTCAGAATAAAATTGACTCCAAAGGCAAGGCTCTGATTACACTGTTATGTATTCTATAAATTGTAATCTTTATTCTTAAAAACAATTCATTGGGTAATTTAGATTAGTATTAATTGTATATTTGTTCTCTTGTAACAGTGACCATAATGCTCATGCAATATCTTCTCTTTCTACCAGCTTTTTGTTTTGAGCACCACCATCTTTCTGGAGTCTGGTGCCAGCACTGCATCTCCCGTGGCTGCCAGTGCCTTGCTGTTGCTGGCAGAGTTGTGTAGTGTGCTGAAAGCCCATGCCATCCCATTCCTGCCACGCTTCATGCCTGGCTTACTCAAGGTGCTACAGAATGAAGAAAACCTTTTAAGGTGAGTGGAATTGTAAATTATACTGTATGCAGTTGTATTTATGGAGATTTGTATCATACAGAATGTAATCTTTCATCTTTGTTTCACAAGGTTGTATATATTATATTGTGACACAATCTGAAAAAATTATATTTTTTAGCTGTTAAATATTTTTTACTTCTTGCATTATTTTGAATTTTTCATATGTTTGAAAAAGAGGGAACGTGTCACATTTTCTGTCTTAAATTGGGTTTTGAGCTATACAATTTGTCAGCTTCAGCTGGTTCATATATTAACTTTGCCAAAAATCCCTCTTAAAACATATTTAAATATGTTGGTAATTTATCCCCTGTACTGTGTTTCCTGCCAGCAATGACCTGCTGCTGCTGAGTGCAGTGACCACACTCCACAAGGTGGTGGAGAGCCTGCCACATTTTCTCAGTCCATACCTGGAAGAGGTGCTGCTCAGGGTGGTCCAGCTGTCCTGCTTAGAGTCTGAAGACCATCACAAGTCCCAGCTGCATCTGAGACTGAGAGCTGTCAGGTGTGTTGCTATATGATATAAAATTGACTTTATTAGTATAAGATATATTAAAATATATTGATAAAATCATGTTTTAACTGTTAAAAATGCTTTGTCTAATTTGTGTTGTACTGTATGTAGGCATAAAAGACCAAAATTCTGGCATTCATGCTCTGTTAAGTGGTAGTTCCTTACATGTTGCCTCATATCTTCAGTTCTATTCTCATATAAAATTCTGTGCCTCATACAGAAAAAGTGATTTGTATACATGTTGTTATTCTAGGCACAATCTGTCCACAGTTATAGCCCCCAGAGTGCTGCTGCCAGCTGTAACCCACTGCTATGATAGTGTGGTGCAGCAGCAGAAGGTGAGGATGTGAACTCAAACAGAAATAACCTGAATGAGAAGTCATGTAGATAAGAGTTTTAAAAAACTTAACAATTCTTTGTTTTCTTGGTAATGCATGTTGCTTGTATGAATGGATTCTGTATCCATACTATGTTAGAACACTGGTATGTTGATATAAACATACACATTTAATTACATTTTAAATAAGGTTATATAAAATATATTAATTTTTATAAGTTGTGTCAAATTAGGTCAAATTAATATGTATACTGTCACGGATAGACTTTGATGATTGTTGACAATGTTTAACTTCATCTCCATTCCAGTCTTGTATCATCCCCTTGATGTCCATCTTGGAGGGTCATTTGTCCAGCATGAGTAAAGATGACCTGAATAGCCACCACAACCAGATTGTTACCTTCTTCCTCACTGCTCTGGATTTCAGAATGAATAACCAGAATGTATGCGCATAACAGCTTTTTTGTTTGTGATTACTATCTCCTGTGTTATTTTGTTTTGGTGTCCAATAACAATCTTCATTTTATTCAAGAGCCTGTTATGTTTCTTGATGTAAAAATTAATGGTAATGAATTGCAGGATTCAAAAACTTAATTTATCTAGAAAAAGACTTAATAAACCCTAGTTAACACTGGCCTTCCACAGTGTGTGACATAAAAGGAACATAATGATAGCAAGGCACAGGCAAGATCTAATGTGCTCTTGTATGTCACATACAGTGGACAAGGAGTATTTGTAACTGACTTATCCTTTTGTTCGAAAGCATGGGCCACAGGTTTTGTCTGAAATAATCTGAAACATTTGTAGTACATTGAATATAAAGTTTGATATCAGTCTGCATGTTTTTTTAAAATGAAATGGCTAGACTCGGAAAAGCAAAATGTTTATTCTTTCAGTTGCCAATGCTAGACATCCTTAAAATAGAAGAGTGTGTGATAAAACCAGTGATTGCTATGATAATGAGACTATCAGAGGCAACATTCAGGCCTATGTTTTTCAAGGTATGTTGGAGTTGATAGACCTTAAATATAATACAACATAAATAAAACAACAAATTTTTATCATGTATGCAGTTTGAAGGATAAACAGATATGTGAGTTTCAGATCTCTCTAACTGCGAATATCTGCTTAGTTTAAAATGCCAACTCCTTTATTTTAATAGCTGTTTGACTGGGCTACCAGGCTTGAGACAACTAAAGACAGGTTGATCACATTCTATAGGTTGGGAAACTGGTAAGTTCTTATCATTCATGTCTTATTTTAAGTCTTCTACAAATGTTTGTCTTATGTTTTCACATTTTAATATGAGTCTGTGCAATGCAAAAAGTTGGAATTTTAATTGGCAGATGAATTTTGTAGTGCTCTCTTTTTTATTTCCTACAGCATCTCAGAGAAATTGAAGGGATTGTTCTCACTCTTTGCTGGACACATTGTGAAGAACTCTGCCAACATATTGAATGACAATAACACCTATAAAACAGGTAAAACCAGGGAATATTTTTTTATTCATTTTTTTTTTTTTTTTTTTTTTAATTACTGTTATTTTCATTAAAACCTATTCAGATATTCTAGATATTTTCATGTTATTCCACAATTTACCTTTTAGGAAGAAACATTTGTTGATTTTTTTTCTTGATAAATTGCAAAACCAGTCTGCAATTTTTTTTCTAGCTGAGCCATATTTTGGTGAAGATCCCCGTGCTGAAGAGAAGGCGAGTCAGTTGTTACAGTATGTGCTGGACTGTCTCCACAAAATATTCCTATATGATACAGACGGCTTTCTCAACAAGGAAAGGTTTGATACACTCATGCAGCCATTGGCAGACCAGGTAAGAGTTTGATTATGTACCTTGTTTTCTTCCTCTCCATCTTGTCTCCTGAGTCCTATTAACCAATTATTTGAATGCACCGCATTTTTATTTTATTTTATTTTTATTTTTTTTAGCCAACTTGCCGCACCTTTGTAAAAAACTGAAAACTGATTACAAACTGTCCCTAATTTTCTTATATTCCCTTTAATCTTTTTGCTTATTTTTGTTATTGAGCTTTATGTCTGTAAATATGCCTTTCTTGCTTTTAGTCATAGAAAAATTCACCCACTTAGTTTTCCTAATATTGGGGGAAATGAACGTTGTTTATTGAACATATATTCATATTATATCATTTTCAACTGTTGCAGCTTGAAAATCTTCAAGGAGGTGAGGGTTGCTATGAGTCCAGAGTTAACGACCACTTGGTGCCGTGTATCGCCCAGTTCGCCATTGCAGCTGGGGATGATGGGATGTGGAAACCTCTGAACTATCAAGTTTTGTTGAAGACTAGGAATATCTCAGCAAAGGTTAATGTGTGGACTTGTTTTGGAAATGTCTAAAATGCCTATCAGTGGTTTTTGATTACAAGTTCTGAAACAGACCTTAATATATACTGATTTTGTCAAAACTGCAAGTTTTACTTTTATGATTACTGAACCCTTATGTCACTATACTACTGCTACTATGCTTCTATTATATGTTGCATTCACCTACAATTGCATGGTTTATAGGGTATTAGAGGTTTTATTTAAACGAAGACATTTCTTTTTAGGTTCGTTTTGCAGCTTTGAGGGTGATAGAAGAGTTCAATACCAAACTGGGAGAGGAATATATGACACTACTTCCAGAGACTATCCCCTTCCTAGCTGAACTCATGGAAGGTAAGGATTTCATACACTGCATATGGTATATTGGGATGAATTTCAAACACGTTTTGGTATATGAAGACCCAAATTAGAGTGAGTCATGATGCAGGTGCTTTTGTAAACAGCTCTTCAACATGTCTCATCAATAGTTTATTTGGAAAATAAACATTCCTTTAAATTGAAATTGGAAAGAATCTTTTTCTATTTTAGCCATTTGTAATTATGAAATTATTTTGGGGCTTGAAACCTTTTTCTGAAATCATTGCATTATGATTGATTCATGAAAAAAAAATGAAATGCAACANGCAGATGAATTTTGTAGTGCTCTCTTTTTTATTTCCTACAGCATCTCAGAGAAATTGAAGGGATTGTTCTCACTCTTTGCTGGACACATTGTGAAGAACTCTGCCAACATATTGAATGACAATAACACCTATAAAACAGGTAAAACCAGGGAATATTTTTTTATTCATTTTTTTTTTTTTTTTTTTTTTAATTACTGTTATTTTCATTAAAACCTATTCAGATATTCTAGATATTTTCATGTTATTCCACAATTTACCTTTTAGGAAGAAACATTTGTTGATTTTTTTTCTTGATAAATTGCAAAACCAGTCTGCAATTTTTTTTCTAGCTGAGCCATATTTTGGTGAAGATCCCCGTGCTGAAGAGAAGGCGAGTCAGTTGTTACAGTATGTGCTGGACTGTCTCCACAAAATATTCCTATATGATACAGACGGCTTTCTCAACAAGGAAAGGTTTGATACACTCATGCAGCCATTGGCAGACCAGGTAAGAGTTTGATTATGTACCTTGTTTTCTTCCTCTCCATCTTGTCTCCTGAGTCCTATTAACCAATTATTTGAATGCACCGCATTTTTATTTTATTTTATTTTTATTTTTTTTAGCCAACTTGCCGCACCTTTGTAAAAAACTGAAAACTGATTACAAACTGTCCCTAATTTTCTTATATTCCCTTTAATCTTTTTGCTTATTTTTGTTATTGAGCTTTATGTCTGTAAATATGCCTTTCTTGCTTTTAGTCATAGAAAAATTCACCCACTTAGTTTTCCTAATATTGGGGGAAATGAACGTTGTTTATTGAACATATATTCATATTATATCATTTTCAACTGTTGCAGCTTGAAAATCTTCAAGGAGGTGAGGGTTGCTATGAGTCCAGAGTTAACGACCACTTGGTGCCGTGTATCGCCCAGTTCGCCATTGCAGCTGGGGATGATGGGATGTGGAAACCTCTGAACTATCAAGTTTTGTTGAAGACTAGGAATATCTCAGCAAAGGTTAATGTGTGGACTTGTTTTGGAAATGTCTAAAATGCCTATCAGTGGTTTTTGATTACAAGTTCTGAAACAGACCTTAATATATACTGATTTTGTCAAAACTGCAAGTTTTACTTTTATGATTACTGAACCCTTATGTCACTATACTACTGCTACTATGCTTCTATTATATGTTGCATTCACCTACAATTGCATGGTTTATAGGGTATTAGAGGTTTTATTTAAACGAAGACATTTCTTTTTAGGTTCGTTTTGCAGCTTTGAGGGTGATAGAAGAGTTCAATACCAAACTGGGAGAGGAATATATGACACTACTTCCAGAGACTATCCCCTTCCTAGCTGAACTCATGGAAGGTAAGGATTTCATACACTGCATATGGTATATTGGGATGAATTTCAAACACGTTTTGGTATATGAAGACCCAAATTAGAGTGAGTCATGATGCAGGTGCTTTTGTAAACAGCTCTTCAACATGTCTCATCAATAGTTTATTTGGAAAATAAACATTCCTTTAAATTGAAATTGGAAAGAATCTTTTTCTATTTTAGCCATTTGTAATTATGAAATTATTTTGGGGCTTGAAACCTTTTTCTGAAATCATTGCATTATGATTGATTCATGAAAAAAAAATGAAATGCAACATTGACTTCGCCATGGCAAGAAGAGATTGTATCAAGTTAAATCATGAACAATTTTTACCACTTCAAAGATCTTCAAACAAAATACAATTCCTACCATCTTTGATATAATTTTCCCATATAATTGATAATGTAAGAGGTTAAACTTAAAATTTTACTAATTCCAGATGAATCAGAAGAAGTAGAACACAAGTGCCAAGAAGTCGTAACACAGATGGAAAAGGTTCTTGGGGAACCTATACAGAAATACTTTTAAGCCAAACCAGAATTTGATGTAACATGATTGTCAGATTTCCAGTGCACATTTTAATACATTGCATGAATACCTGACATTTTTCTATCCACTTTTATTATATGTGTTCCAAAAAATTAACAAAAATAGTTTTCATTATGATATCCATTAAAATACAATAAAGTTTCCAAAAACGTAATTTTTTTATACAGAATTGAATTAGTTTGCGTGCATTGACAAATGACCATTATTTTCACGTGTCTAATTAATACGGATGTTAAAAAAAAAAGCAATTCTTACTTAATCCTTGCTACTCCTATAACATTTTAATGCAATATTCCAAAAACGGAATATGACCTGTTTCTGGTTCATATGTCAGTGCATCAGACATGCGTACATTTTGCTGGATGCATCATCCTGGTAATTAAAGCACCTTAATTATGCAGATTCGTAATAAGTAAATGTGGCTTCTGTATAAAACGTATAAAAATTGCAACAAAAATTCAACAGCTGCTGCATACAGTCGCATCTCATTGATCCTACCCTTACGTTATCTCTCGTCGTTCTCTGTCAGCTCTACGGCTAAATTTCAATGATTCAAATCCAAATTAGTCAGAGACTGCACAGTACCGTATAAATGTGCTTTTCCTTTTAGTCGCGTTGTGACCACGAAAAAAAGTGAAAATTATATCTGTAAAGCCCCCTTTACACTGGACGGCGTCCTCTCTGCGTCCAGCAGTCCGACCCCATTTGAGAGTTAAAAAATTATAATACTTTACGTGCCGGCAACTTGCTGTTCATTGAGCATTCATTCTGATACAAAATCCATGCTCGTGCCTCCTTATTAAGACCACAGCGTTGCCAAATTTCATGGTCGCAGAGAGGACGCAGAAAGGACGCCGTCCAGTGTAAAGGGGGTATTACGCTCTTACAAATTCTGGAGTTCAACGCTCCACAGACGACAACGGGACAAGGACAAATAATTGTAGGGGAAGAACAGTGCCGTCATGTAAGTGGTAAATACTGAGATATTCTTGTACTGAAATATAAAATAGCAATATACTCGTGGTTTTTACAGTTGCCATCGCGGGTATTACTTCTACTCCACCCCAAACTAACATGACAACCAATATATATTTTATTTATTTATTTTTTTATTAATATCGCGATTTTGTAATACACGGGAAGGTAAGGGAACATATTCAAATAATCTAACACTGGTTTTACTATTTACTGTAATTGATCTATTACGGGTTTATCCACCGCACGTCTTATGTAATACCTAGAGTCCATCAAACAAATTCATAGGTCCTGCCAAAAAGTGTGGCTGGAAAGCAAAATTAATATATTTTTATTACTGGTGACAAACTGCCAACTGTTGTTATACCTATCGTCTGGACCTTTCTAATGACTCTATCATGCTGTGCCGAATTACCCTGGTTCTATGGTCTGGCAGTATCTGCTTGCTTACGATTTAACGCCTTCCTATCATTTGACTTTGGTCTTCCAAGCTCTGGCATTGGTCTACTAAGAAGTGCCTCGTTTGTTTGCGCTGGTTCTCGTTGGTTTACTTAAAGCACCCCTGCTTTATGGTGGTAGACAAGCACATACCATGAGTGTATATGAAGATTCCTGTCCCAACGCTGCCACTCGTTTTAAGGAAAGAAATTTACCCTGATACTGGGATAGGTTATCCGTCTCTTTCTTGTCAACCGTTATGTCATGAAGTGAACTTCTCATGTACGCATGGGCGAGGATTAAATCCCATCTGTCTGAACGGGAAGAAAAGTTTTTGTTCTCCATCCCCCAATTAGATCCCCATCCCCTGGAGTCTGAAAATGTTCTGTGCACAGCTGTTTGGATGGTCCCATTCAAGTTTCGATGCGACAATTTTCCATTTACTCATTTCCACAAACCGAGCTCCTGTGCATAACTGTCAAGCACTGAACGCATCCCACTTAATCCATTCTGGACCGCGGGCAGTTTCTCCTTGTTCTCCACTAAATATGCCATCCCAAGTGTCCCGAGGATGGCCAGCAAAAGGAGTACATGAATGGTGATGGTCAGGCGGTAGCATCTGGACACCCTTCTGGACGACTCCTGGAAATTCTGTCGACGTTGGTTTAGAGTCATGGGTCGTTTCTTCATTCTGTAATGGTTGAATAAGTACTATATTTGACTGCAGCATTTGACAAATAAAATGGGCCCTAATGGTTGTCATATACGCCTTGTGGTGAGCTTGACTTTATAAAGGTTATCATATCAGTTATCCTGCATAGCGAGTACAAGGCTTAAAGCCCCGACGCAGATAACATAACACGTGTCGTTAATCAGTGTTGACGCCCGCTGACGAAGCTCTGACTAGATAAATACCTACTCTACAAAACTCTACTTTCTAGAAAAAAATCTCTGACAACGTTTTGCACATAACATACCAGACGCAAAGCAAAGAGTATAAGATATTGAAAGGAACTGAATGCCCGACCCTTTGCCTCTATAACCCCTCCCTTTTTCTGGACCTAATTCCTGAACTACACGGACACTAAAATATAAATTTCTTAACTCGCCTTGGGGAGCGAAAGAACCGACCTTCCCAGTAACCCATTATTTTGAATTAACAAATTATAATGATAACCTCCTCATATCCCGCATATCGTCTCAGGTTGGTTCAGGTCCAGAAGATGTCGCAAATACGTTAACCTATGTCCTTCTAGTTTAATATCGTGGACGCCTCAGATGTTTGCAGGTATGAGGAGTTCATGTTACGTACTACTTCTAGAACATCAATTAAAGAAATACTATTCACTGAACTTCTGATAATTTCCCAGGTATTTAATCAATATCGGTCAGTTTGAATGGTCACTAGCTGCCTGATCAACAAATATAATCGATAAAATGGCACACATCTTTACTTACGGGAGAAAATGTTTGAGCTCGATATTTGTTGTTCTACCGACCCATGTAACTTGATCGACATAGGCGAAACATGGCAAGACTTGCTCAATGGCACTAAAGAGAAACGTCTTATGTTGTTCAATTTGTTCATCGATTGCTCAATCCATCAATCTGTGAAGAAAATTAAAAAGAAATAACAATCTTACAGCACAGGAGAGTCATTTTAATCAATTAACCCGTCGAACAAATACATCTTTGTGGTTTAAAAATACGTTTGATTACTTCTAATAGTACTTAAGTTGCTGAGTGTTTCCACAGCCTAGTCAGCTCAGCAGTGTTGGTATACATTTATAAATTATGATGGTTAGTGAACTTACTGTAAACACAATTGCGGCACCTGTAGGGGTAGTCTACATTCAAAATTTATTAAAACAAAACATTATAATGGATTTTGCTCGTTAATTAACATTACAAACATGCAGTGGGCGTTCCATCTACCTAACCTGCATTCCTCCTTAAAATAGTTATTTCCATATTATATTCGAGAGTTGAAGTAAAATAACGTACCTGTATTGGAAAATGAGTATGAGATTTAAGGGAACCAGAGCATAACGCCAGTCACTTGTAACAAGGGTCCTTCCAGTACGTCAGCTGAACTAAAACCCCCACTTATCTATATAATGTGCATTATTCTCCGTCCTGCGAGCCGTGTTTGCGGACACTTGAGTGGGTTTTGCTGAGGAGCCCTACCTAATATGGTCTAACGTGGTAAACTTAGTTACCCTTCTTATAATAGGGTAAGGTAAATAATAACTTTTTTTTTTTTTTTGAAATCTCTCAAGGAACAGGTCAAAAAGTTCATTTCTGGTGAGAAATTTGAGCTGGGGCCATTCTTTAGTCGGTAATTTCACTATTTTTGGAAATGCATATAAAGCATGTGTACTACTTATACGGTAACTGTAGTTAACTATAGGCATGTATATACCTGCATTGGATAGGGTTGGGTGGGGCACAAATTTTTGATAAGTGTTTTCTATGGCAGAAAATCATACTAAAAACACGTTTTTTTTTCACAACAGCCATTTAGGTTGGTAAAATGACGATTTTCAAAAAGGCAGATAAAACGCCCTAACGGGAATTTCAACATCGACAATTAAAGGACCCATAGTTTGTAAGATGCTTTTTCTTATGTTTAGGGGGTTGTTAACATATTTTTTCTTATGTTAACACTACCATTGTTACATTTTATATGGAGTTTGGTTACCTTATTGGTTAATAGTTTACTGTCAAGCTTAACGGAAGAGCCAGATCTCAGTCAGTCAAAACAAGGTGTGATAATATATCTCAAGTTCTGCTGCATGCGAAATATAAGGAAGAGTCAGAATTATCCTAACCTCAAGCAACCAAAGGGTGAATGTGTTTAAATTATTAAAAAATGAAATGGATGGAATATTTTTGTTCTGCATGAAAAAAGCAATCACTATCATGCACTGAGACCAGCAAAGAAGTTGCCAAGGAAATATCCAATGTCTGGATGTCCATGAATATCTTTCCTCTCTTTGAGAACATTTTCAACATAATGACTGCAATTGGCGCTACATATAAAAAGCATTGTGCTTATATATGATGAATCTTATATCATAAGCAATCTTTGTCAAGTTTTGATTGAACTCTTTCACTTACGTATATCATCACTTTTAACCCTTGCACTTCACAGACAGTTAATGCTTCGTTAGTTCCCCAGGTATATTATAATCCAACATACTTCTGTTGGGAATGTTCTTCTCAAAGAACGGAAAAATATATTTTTGGAGATTCCAGCATTGGAGATTTCCTTGGAAACTTCTTTGCTGGCCTCAGCTTATGACAGGGATCTCTTTCGGCTTCATACTCGTAAAACAAAGGTGTGCCATCCATCCTACTGTAATAGTTTTAAAATATTCACCTTTCGGTAAGGATAATTGGTTCTTCATTATAATTTCCATCCAACAGATGTTGAGAAATCTTATCACTCCTCATTTTGATTGATCAAGACGAGTGAGGTGGGTCATGGTTCCCATTATCGACGATTCTGGCTCTTCATTCTAGCTTGACAGTTAACTGTCAGCTTACATGGTAACTGAACTCACTGTAAAATGTACCAATCTCAGTATTAACACCAGAAATGGATTCCACAATCCCTAAACATAGGAAAAGACATATGACACACTATAGTACCTTTAATTGTTGTTGATGAAACTCTAGGTAGGCCGTTTTGGCTGCCATTTTGAAAATTGTCATTTTACCGACCTAAATAATTGTTGTATAAATAAATGATTGCCATATTTGTGTTCAGCATCAAATTTCGCCTCAGAAAATATCTGTTATGGAAAACTTTTGAGATTTACCCTACCCTACATATAACGCTTATCCGATGTCAAACACTCCTGTCTGCATACCGGCCCATTGTTTGCCTGGGACGCAGACCCGGTTCGCCGTCTGTGGATTTCAATGCTCTTAGTTCAATATTATCTGAAAAAACAGGACCGGAGGATTGCATACGCAAAACAATCATTTAAATATCGACCGAACCTAAATTGAGACGTGTGGCAAATTATGTGAGAGAATAATGCAATATTATATATATTGTACTTGGTAAGAAGTTGGCTTCTTGCTGCACGCCGGTCCTGTGCTTAGAAAACAACAAAGATTTTATGTAACATTTTACTTAATCTAGTTTCATTACTTGACATGCCCTTTAAAGGTTTCGCTGGAAGATCTAGAATTTCTTGGGGGGATCAGAAAAAACGGTATCTCAGATTTTTTTAATCATATTGAGAGTCATATTTAAGTCACAGTAGACAAAAAATCATTTAAAAAGTTTCATTTAACGACTTTGAAGATAAGATCCGAACCACACCTTATGAAAAAAGTTTGAGATACTGTTTTGTAGTCCTCTTTCATATCCACACAATGTCTCTTAAAAGAATTGTCGAGGTAATACTCTAATAATCGAGAAAATCTTCAAACTGTTTAGTAGCGGAAGCTATGCTAAACATCCAGAGGTTATACTAAAATGGATTATGATACAAGGTATATTATGGACCCCTTCCCAAAGAAAAAGAATTAAGATTAAACCTACACATGAACACATAAAAATGGGCTAGGGTTATACATGGACACCCTGTAAACTGTCCAATTATAGTTTTTGGCCAGTCATTGTGTCATTTTTTGTAAAAAAAAAAAAAAGTGAAAAGAATAGAATTATATATCTCATGGGCCTATTTGGAATCTAATGAGCCCATCACGGTTCAAGGCCTAAATCAACGTGAGTTGTACATAAATGTATGCTTTTTGGGTCAAATTGCTTACGGAGTGGTGGTTTAAGGTCTTGAACCCCTTCACGTGACTCTGCAGACAACTGGTGTGTGATTATACTTTTATAGTCATTGCTTTGGGTTATATCTTGCTTCTTAAAATGTTATTTATAGCTCCCTGAAGTTTATAATTCTATGAGAAAGGGGTATTGTACTATTTCTTTAGAATCCATTCAATTGAGTGTTGGACATATTCGTTACGGCTTTCTTGGGACTACACCAAACTGATTCGCATGCTTTTTTTATATATATAGATCAAATATGGTGCTACGCATGAAGTCATTTTTTAAAATGATTTTGCTGTTTTCGTGGGGATTCTTTGCGCTTTTAGTTATGCTTACGTATCAAAACAGGGCACGGAGTCAAGGCCCTAGTCATCGCATTCATACAGTGAAAAATGGGACACAAATGAAGCCCCAGACCCACCACGCGTCTGTCGGTCTCAAGGGATCGTGCTTGGTCGAGGAAGATGTATGCCTGCTTCGAGAACGAAACGCATCCTACCTTTGGTATCACATAAGGACCTTTGAGTATGCCATCAATAAACAATGTGAAGGGAAAGAGAAATCGCCCTATCTGCTGGTGTTGGTGATATCAGATCCACGCGATCCAAAGACTAGGTCCATGTACCGTCAAACCTGTGGGAGTGTAAAAGCACACATGGGAAAATCTATTAAAACTATGTTCTTTGTGGGAAAAACAAATGATTCGCTAGTGGAGAATGCAATTATCAAAGAAAGTGAACAATATGGAGATATCATTAAAATTGACTTTGAGGATTCATATAAGAATTACACACTCAAGACCCTCCTGGCTTTTCGCTGGGCGGTTGATTATTGCCCTGGTGCGGAGTTTGTCTTTAGGTGTGGACACGATGTAATAACGAACATGCGAGAAATTGTTGGCTATTTGACACGACTTCCGCCAAGTATGAGAGCAACTTTATTTTCCGGATTTCTTTTTACTCGTCCTGGCAGACCACACAGGGACCCAAACAGTAAATTTTACCAGTCGCATGAACAATATGGACCATCCACATATCCGCCTTTCATTTCAGGATTTGCGTCGATTTTTTCACTAGGTGCGATCAAAATACTTAACTCCGCTTCATTGAACCAACATTTATTCATTGAAGATGTCTACTTAGCAAGCCTCGCACATAAACATGGCATAAAATTGATAAACACTGGACGATATTTTTGGTTTATGCCTGATATTAAATATGAAGATATACTAAGAAATAAATGTGGCTTACTACAGTCTTTCGCTATACACAGGCCCCCTACGCTCGCTGTTTGGAAAATACTGAATGGAAATTTGACCAAAGAAAAGGCATGCAAATCATCGATACATTACAAAAGTACCAAAAAAGGACAATAAGAAAGAAAAAACATGATCAGAAAATTTACCAAGGAGAAATTCAACGCATAAGTTAAAGTATCAGATGCGCCGTTCACGGCTGAATATAACCTTAAAGAGACAGAAAAAACACGAAGAAGGGAATTAACCAAAACTTTTTTGCAGTGCCTCAACGTACGTGTCTTAAACGAGGAGAAAACGAGATACAGATGGAGCGACTTTGTTTTCATGTTACTCCTTATGTGATTAAAAGCTCTTTCATTGACATAAGAGCATCTTTGTCGTGGGCAACAAGTAAACTCGTACAAGTAAGCTCCGGTATGGGGGTCAATGGGTGTAAAACCCAAGTGAAATATGTTAAAATAATAATAATAATAATAATAATAATAATAATAGCATATCTTCGTTTTACCTCCTTATTTATTTATTTATTTATTTATTTATTTATTTATTTATTTATTTTGTAAAAGAAGTAAAAACAACACACCAAAGGCTGAATCAAATTTACTTGAATAATAATAATAACGAAAAACGTACCGTATGAAATTCGGCAGCATCATATTTTCATTATTTTCTTAATTTAATGCCAAAATAAGCGTTGGGGAAACTCATTTTTAATCGCTACATAACAAACAGCAAACATCGAGACTAGAATAAACAACGGCCATTATACATGCAGTTGAATCAATTAATTGAATGACTTTGGTTTGAAGGCTATTAAATCATACCATTTAGGCAACTCGATAACACTCACACACACACACACACACACAAATACGTCTTACACATTAAGTTCTAGGTGAAAATCGTGCAAACTGGCGACCGCCACCGTCTTTTAAAACACACTTTATCTGATGCAGTACATTGCATATCATCCAGTTTGCTATTGTTAACTGCAAAAACAGTGAAAATACACTCTAGAGTCAAGGACCAATTGTTTCACTTTCAAAAATAAATTTCTTATGAATTATTACTATAAACCTCTGATTAGCACCACTCTTCCTGAGGTTCAACAGAAGAGGAATCGGACAGGGACACTTGGTCTGGGTCTTCCATTTCTTCTATAATACTCCCTTCCTCTGATACCACTGACAGCTGGGAGTTGATTGGAGTTCTGTTGTGCGCAGGTGGTGTCTCCTCCTGAAGCGGAATATTTCTGTTTTTAAATTGTTTTACAAGAAAGAATGTGTGAAAAGTGCCAATACTGGTTTATTTAATTGTATATTTAGTATAGCTGCAATTTCTGTACTCGAGTGCTCTGCACACGTTGAATTGAATTATCTATCTGGAAGTCATGATGTGTAATCCAACTCACAATGGAACGGTAAGGAGAGGAAGGGCGGATCTTAAAGTGTTGATGCCTCTGCAGATAAACCACGTGCCAACCTTTTATGTAATCATAGTACGAAATAATAGCGAAACAAACTAGGACACTAGACGCAATACATCGTTAAGAAAACAGATAAATGCTGACTTGTCTTTCGGAAAAGTCTGTAAATCCGACCTTCAACAAAGATTGTATAGAGAGCGGCTTTTTAGCTGCATGTAAAATTCTGGTACATCTAAAACAAAACCCACTGACGGGAAACATTGTGTTATCTCAAATAAATCGGCTCTGATGATTTACCTCCGGCAAACACGTGATGCCAGTTGAGGGCTGTGTATACACCAAAAACGCCATAGGGTCTTGGTCTTTCAAAGTCACTAATAGATCTCTCAATGTTTTCCACTGGTTCTCAGCTGATGACACCTGAAATATTTTATCAGTTAGTGTTGGTGAGAATGCTACAATGAGCATTAACTTTATTCTGCTTATTGAAAAGTATAAACATGCATGCAAAGCCAAGGACATATCGAAAATGGACAATTAAATTTCCAAGAACTAATATAAAAAATAATAAAGGAGCACATATAAAGCAATATAAAGCATGAGGTCAACTTCTTGTTTAATGTGGATTCTATAATATTTTTGCATAATATTGCACAGTCATAAATTTCAATTTGATTTCCTGAAATTAAACAATCATTAAATCATTATGCAACTAAAATGAGCGCAGATAAGGGAAAACCGTATATATAGGGTGTTAAACTGGCGATTCTCAATGTTGCAGAGATAATAAGGAAAACTTTAGGACCCCACCCCCCTCCCTTCCCGACCAACAAGCGGTTTTAACTCCCTTTTACAGACTTGCGGTCACCGTTCTTCCCCTGAAATGGAACGCTGAATGTGATCAACCAGTTTTTTTTACAAACTTCACGTGATAAAGAAGTCGACATCAATTTACTATGGGATTCAGGATGGTTGCAAGTGTAGCAAGTGTGAGAACTTTTTTTTTCATCGCTGTGATTGAGCATGGAAGACTTAGAATATGATTTGTACATCTTCATTAATGCCATGCATATCAGATATTGTAAACTTGCAAGGTCTAACAGACGAGGTCAAACAGCTTGACATCATTCTAAACCCACCCACTGAGCAGAGTGCGATTGCAGTAGGGAATTTTGTAAGTAAAATTATGAAAAAACGTAATTAACTGGAAGTGCACAAATGATTTCATGCATCTCACCTGCATATTAAGAGAATGTATATTGTGTAACATTATATAAGTATAATTTTTTTTTCTCTCTTTCATTTACTTACTATCATTACTATCTTTTCGTATGTATAATGTATAGTAGTTAGAGAGCCTCTAAATGTAAAAACATTTCAGTGCTCAATAAATTATTATTATTATTATTATTACCTTTCTTCGCCCTGTACCCCATTTGGCCTGACCAACTTGACCAGCACTTATTGTAGGCTATCAGACACAGGTAGAAAAAAACCACACGTATTAAAAATTTAACGAATCTGGGTCTGTTTTTATATGCTTCACCTCGGTAGCAAATATCACTTTGTCCGTCTCCTTTTAGCTCAGCAACAACAAGAAACCTATCAAACACCGCTGCGGCCTGTCGCTGGCCAAGAATACCATTGTTAACTGTCCACAGGTCTTTAAAATCAGTTTGTATTGACACCTGATGAAATTATCGAACCAGAACTGGATAGGTCTGTTTAAATAAATTCATACTTACAATATGATCAACCAATGTAATACAAATTAAACCAGGACTAGAAAGTTCTTATTAATACCAGGGCTGAGCTGGTCTGTGTAAAACAATTTATGTATAAAACAACTACTATACCTGATATGTGACACACATCAGACATTTGTTCTAGTTATGCATATCGCAGTATGGATATAGTAGCAAACTAAAATGGAAAATATTAATTCTGACACCATATTCTATAAAAATAATAATGGTTTTATGGGGGAAAGCTGAAGCATGAAACACTTTTTTAATATAAAAAAAATTTATTGGGTATTTAAGTCCAAGCTTTAGCAATAGCCTCTACATTCATGGTTATTTCCTCTGGTTTTGAACTTTACATATATACATTTAGGTAAAAACAAATCAATCTAAAGAAAAAAAGGAAATCAACCCTCAACCATACACAAGAATAGGCTTTCTACTGGACTAAAACAAAAATGTGACTTGATGAACAAAACTGTAACATCTATAATCTAGTTCACAATAACAAGTGTAAAATGGTAAGAAAGTGTCTGAATTTTTTTCTGAGCTTTTCACATAAAAATAAAAGTGCACAAAAGTGCAGAAATCAAAAGAAAAACAACAAATACATGTATATGACGAATGAGATTCAAAATGGCAAGTTCATACAACTTTGCCCAAAAAAGGCAAATTTGGAAGAAAATACAGCAATAAACATCTCTTATTTGATATAAACCAACATCAAGTAAGTTTAAGTGCACCTTAAAAATCATTAATTAAGCTTAAAATATTTTTAAACTGAGGAAGCATCAAACAATAAATCCATCCATCTACTGCTTTCTATTTATATAAATTTTCTTTCTTTTGTAACATGATTGTCATAATAGCAAACTTATGTACATAAATCAAACCACTATGTTGTTGAAATGATACATAAAACAATAACATCTTAACAGTATCAAAATAATGCATTAATTATACAATAATTAAGACTACTTTAAAAGCAACTATTTGGTAACAAAATGTTTTACACTGAGCAGCATAAAATTAGGTACAAAAATTATTCAAGCAAAGCTGAAGGGTGCAGACAAAGGTGGTGTTAACTATGGAAGATATGGTTACATGCAGACATAATATTTTCTTATTAAAGCTTAAATCATAACCACAACCCCTGTTCTCTATCTACAAGGTAAGAGAGGTCAACTATCCTAATTTTACTGTTTTAGCCCATGATGATTATCTGATTTGATTCCACCATTTTTGAAATATATATTTGCTTACCTCTGATTGTTTCTTTTATTTAAAAAAATTGATCTGCTTTTTTTTTGTTGTTAATATCTTTTACCCAATTATCTTTCTATTAATTATCTTTCTCCTTTAGAAAATAAATCATTCTAATCACACAAATTTTGCCACCAAAGTATCCGTGGATAGTTTCTGCAGTTGTACCTCTCTCTGCAGACATTGGACACGTTCCTGTAAACTGCAACATTCTCCCACTAAATAGCGCTCTCTCTCTCTCAACCTACAACACAAGATAAATCAAGTGTACTTAAGGCAGTTATCAGTTATCAAGATCCGAACACTTCATGAAAAAGACACCACCTTGTCAAAATATTTTGATGAAACCAATTTTAAATCTTATTATTAACTAGAGGATCAGAGAGGCGATACCGCCTCCAGATATTGTACCACCAGCTAGAGTAAGTGCATTCGTATAGACCCCCCACCCAAAAAAAAGGGACACCACCACCAGTCTTGTGCTTGACAAGCTCTATAAAATGCAATCAACAAGAATTCTCAAAATATGCAAAAAAAATATAACTAAATATGGTACAATCAAAGTTCAGTTCATCGTAAAAAGTAGGTCAAGGGTCACAGTAAATTGCCTCTTATGACTTTCTATTCCAGGTCAATAGTAACTATGGACCTATCTCTGCCAGTTTTGGAGA